TGTTTCCCATCTCTGCATTTCCCACCTGGAAAGATGCTGCAGCCCCAGATTTGGGGCTCCCCTGCTGTCCCCAGGTTGTGGGGTCACCTGAGAGCCTCGGGCAGTGGCTGTGGGACTCGGAGTTGTACTTGTGGCAATAACTTCTATCTTAAACCCATCATACCCTGAATGTCATGGAATGAAGTGACTGATGGGAAGCACAAGGGATCTTTTAGAGCAGCAAAGCTGGGGCTCAGCACGAATTTCTCATTAACTCCTCAGACAGAGCATTTTCTGCAGCCCCTCCACAGAAAGCTGAGTATTTGCTGCTTTCTCCAAGTGAGCTCCTGCAGTGCAATATTTTTCCATGCACATTGTCCAAACCTTTCATAGAGCTCGTGAACATATTCCAGCTTTCTCATCCACGTTTTTGTTGGATTTTCCTCCCTTAAACTGACCCTCTTGTTCTTTCTCTGCTGTTCTCTCAGTTCTACAACTTATCCCTTTTTCCTTTTTCCACTGGGAAACTGAAAAAGTTCTCACTCCTTTTGCAGTCCTGTTTCCTCTTGTGAAATCCCTCATTTTTACCACCTTTCTTGTCTTCTCCACCTTTTCCAAGTGTCCTTGTCCTCACTGTGGGCTTTGTCAGGAGATTGCCAATGTGTTGTGAAAACATTAAGCACTGTGTTTATAACTAGAGTGAGTGGGTGTAAATAAGATTTTGCTAGCCTGTGTCTGATATTACATGTGACAGGGGATATTCCATCCACATGGGATCTGTCAGCAATGCCTCTGTGGATTTAACAAACTTCCCAGGGATTAGCTGGCTTGGAGTGCTCTGCTCAGCTCCTGCCCCAGTGTGTGTCTAGGAAATTATGAATTCTCTCTTTATTTTTAGCTCAAATGGGCAATAATTATGTTTTCTCTATAATAATCAGTGTAGGATGTAGATTAATATTTTTATCATGAGAGTGGAAGTAAAACAAAATACAAGCACAATTCCTCAAACTAAAAATGAGCATTGAAGAAATAGGATTTCTTAAAGATCTTGGAGCTGGAGAGTTGAACTTTTTTGAGGGGAAAACAGTAAAATAGCAATACAAAACATACTTTCTAATGCAAACTGAAGTGCATTCTCATTACTGTCTTCTCCATTTGTTCTGGTTTGGAAACAGAACAAATCCATCATTTCATCCATCCAAATTTCCCATCATTGTGTGATTTATTTGAACCAAAAAGATTAACTTCAAAATCCTCATCCCACAGTTAATACTGGGGGAGTTCTGAAGGAAAAGTCTCCCACTTCTTTTCCTTTCTGGCACAGGGGATGGCAAATTATTCCCACATCAATATTCCCAATACTTTCCCTTTTTGAGGTGAAAATAAGAACTGGAGAGTAAATTGCCAATTCTGCAGCACAGAGAAGTTTGATTAAATACATTTGAATGTTCTCAAAGATCTGAACTTCATTTGTATTTCTCTAATCAGTCTTTCTCTACTATTTTTTGCTGGAAGGGTGCAATGCAGAGGGAGGGCAGCTCCAAAGAAGCTTTGGTGGCTCTGGAACTCCAATTTTCACCACAGAACTGTGAAGGAAAAGTTCAGGTATTCTCAAATATCTGAACTTTATTTGTTCTTCTTTAATCAATCAGTCTCCCTCCTCTATTTCACTTTTTGGATGGAAGAGTGCAACGCAGAGGGAATGCAGCTCCAGAGGAGCTTTGGTGGCTCTGGAACTCCAATTTTCACAACGGGACTATGAAGGAAAAGTTCAGATATTCTCAAATATCTGAACTTTTATCTCAAATAATATCTCAAATATTGTAATTCTGTAATCAATCAGTCTCTCTCTACTATTTCCCTTTTTTGCTGGAAGAGTGCAATGCTGAGGGAGTGCAGCTCCAAAGGAGCTTTGGTGGCTCTGGAACTCCAATTTTCACCACAGAACTGTGAAGGAAAAGGATGGCAGAAACAGCTACAGTGCACCTTCTATTAAAAACATCCTTTTTTAGCTGTCTTTTTGCTTTGGAGAAAGAAAACAGCTCCATGAGCTGAACATGCACCGTCAGCTTGGCTGACACAGAGCCCTGCTGACATATTTTTGTTCAAAAAAACCCCAACTTTGTTTTTAACTAATTTTTAAATGTAAAAGACAAAAAAAAAAAAAAAAAAGGGGGGGGGGAAGAAAAAAATAGCCATTATAGGGTGCTGAGGGAAATGCTGAACACAGTAAACATCTTTCATGACAAAGAACACAAATACCCTGCAGATCTGCTGTCAATAGCAAGTGCTGGGCCCCCTGCTTTCAATAGTTAATAGAGGCCCCTCTCTCCCCAAGCAACAATCACAGTGTTAAAATGTTGACATGCTAAGCACATTTGGAAAAACCCATGTCTGCATTCCCTATGGATGGTGTAGCATCGCTGTCTACCACCTAAAGAGCAGCAGTTCAAGCCAAAGTGACCTTCTCACCTCGTGGCTTCTCTCTTGATATTCCCTTTCATGGGGGGCAGTGCAGATGGAGCTGAGCCATATTTGGGTTCCTGTCTGCACTGGGAAATGTTTAGGAAATCTCTATTTGGGGAAAAAAAGCTGTTGGGAAAAAAGAGATGTTTGTGTTGTGGTCCTTCATCCCCAGCTGAGCCTTCGTTGTGGGTTGAAAAATGTCAGGAATGTGAAATTTTGAGAAAAAGGTGGAAAAAATGTGTCAGGAAACTGAAATTTTAGGGAAGGGGTGGAAAAAACATGTCAGGGAATTGAAATTTTAGGGAAGGGGTGGAAAGTACATGTCAGGAAAGTGAGATTTTACGGAAAGAATAGAAGAAACGTGTCAGGAGAGGGAAATTTTGGGGAAAGGATGGAAAAACATGTCAGGAAGGTGAAATTTTGGGGAAAGGGTGGAAAAATGTGTCAGGAAAGTGAAATTTTTGGGGAAGGGTGGAAAAACATGTCAGGAAAGTGAAATTTTTGGGGAAGGGTGGAAAAACATGTCAGGAAAGTGAAATTTTGGGGAAAGAGTTGAAAAAATGTGTCAGGAAAGTGAAATTTTGAGGAAAAGGTGGAAAAATGTATCAGGAAGGTGAAATTTTTGGGAAGGGGTGAAAAAATGTGTCAGGAAAGTGAAATTTTTGGGTAAGGATAGATAATATGTGTCAGGAAGGTGAAATTTTGCAGAGAGGGTGGGAAAAACGTGTCAGAAAAGTGGAATTTTTGGGAAAGGATAGAAAGAATGTGTCAGGAAAGTGGAATTTTGTGGAAAAGATGGGGAAAATATGTCAGGAAAGCAAAATTTTGGGGAAATGGTGGAAAAAATGCGTCAGGAAAGTGAAATTTTAGGGAAGGGGTGGAAAAATGTGCCAGGAAAGCGGAATTTTTGGGCAAGGGTGGAAAAAACATGTTAGGAAATTGAAATTTTGGTGAAATGGTGGAAAAAAATGTGTCAGGAAATTGAAATTTTGGGGAAAGGGTGGGAAAAAAACGTGTCATGAAAGTGAAATTTCGGGGAACAAATAGAAAAAACATATCAGGAAAGCGAAATTTTGGCAAAATTGTGGAAATAAATATAATAATTTGCTGCTGGGGAGAGATATAAAGAGATATAAAGGATTAGGATTATTGTGCTGAAGGTTCTGAACCCTCGGCTGAAGGAAGTGGTGAGAGGCCGACAAGGATTAGCAGATTTCTGGAGTGAAACCCTGAAATTTGATTGTCTGGAAATGCAGTATTTTCACATGAAACCTGCCATCCTTTCCCTTCTTTCAGGCAGCTGCATGAGCAGGGTTTGGGACATGGCAGAGCAGTCACAGAGCTTTTGCTGTGCCACTTTTGGCCAATTTACAAGGCCAGTTAATCCTGACATGAAAAAGGGCAGCATCCATCACATCCTGTGCTCTGAGTCACACCAGCAGCTCGCAGAGCTCTCTCCTGGCCCTTTTTTATTCCACAATAAATTATTCTGAGGTATAAATAAATTTCTGTCTGTGTGTGATGGGTGCACATGCCCACGAAAACTTTTTTTTAGGGGTTTTCAAATTAAAAGGGCTGAAAAGCCTTTGCAGTTGGCTTTTAAATTTTGCCCAGCACTTCTATATCTGGTGATGGAAGTTTCTGGAAAACTGGGAGCTGCTCATTGCCCACTGTCCTGGCACTGGAGACTGTTCCTAAAGCAGTTTGCTCATGTTACTCTGAATTTGTTTGGGATTTGCAACACTCCAAGGAGAAGAAAATGACTAATTTTGTCTGGTTTGGTCATGGAGAAAACAGGGGCTGGTGGGTTTTGTGCTGGAATTGCAAGGCAGAGGTTGTGGGCACAAGTCTGACCCATTCAGTTCCCCAAATCCCTAAAAGGATTTTAAATCCCAGCTGCAAGCAAGCAAATGCATCTGTGTGACACTCCTTGGGGAGTTAGAGGTGCTGGGTCTGCATATGAAATTTTCCCTGAGAGATAATGTCAAAATGAAGGAATTAATATTTCCCCGGCCAGGTAATTTTCCTTGCTGTTTCCATTAGAATTTTCAGCTGTTTTCACCCATTGAAGTTTCACTGGTTTTACTAAGGGTGAAAAGAGCAGTTGGAAAATTTAATAGCACATGATTTAGATGGGAAAGAGTCACGGTGACAGCTGGGGAAGGCACGGTGAGGATGAATTTGACGTATGTGTGCTTTAAAAGACAACACGAGTATTACCCAACTACCTCAGCCCTGCAGCACTCCGCACGTGGTTAAAGATTTGATTTGAAAGTACTTTCGCGATGCTGTTTTGCCTTTGTCACAGTTAACAGCGGCTAATTGTCAGTCTGGGTGATTTCGGAGAAAAATTAAACAATTTTCCGTATGGTATACGAACAAAAGCTGCGATAAAAGCACTCTCTTCATCACGGGCATTGGTGGTTCAGTGGTAGAATTCTCGCCTGCCACGCGGGAGGCCCGGGTTCGATTCCCGGCCAATGCAGTTGGTCTTTTTCCGCCTCACTCTTTTTTTTTTTTTTTTTTTCAAGTTCCTTCTTTCTCCTTCCTTTTCCGCTTCCGTCGCGGCCGCCAAATCCTCCTTCAGCTCCACCGGGTCTCGGCTCGCTGCTCCCCCGCCGTGCCCCGCCGGGCTGCGGCTGCCCGGGGATAGCAGGAGGATCCTCAGGGAGGCCGCGCCGGGGAGGACAAGATGGAGGTGTAAGGAAGGGCCTGAGGGGGGAGCACTCGGCAGGGCCGGGCCTCGGAGCCGCCCTGCCGTGACCACAGCGGGGCTGCGGGGCATCTCAGCGGGGTTTGTGTGGGGAAAATCTCTATGGGGTGTGTGGGTGCATCTGTATGTGGTGTGGGAGGGGGTACATCCATGTCGGTCTGTGCGTGAAGGGTGGGAGGGTGCAATGGATCCCTGACGGGTGTGAGAGTCCAGTGAATCCATGAGGGTGTGAGGGTACAGTGGATCCGTGAGGGGTGTGAGTTTACAATAAATCCATGAGGGGTTTATTGCACCCAGCAGTGAGTTCTGGTCAATGTCAGAAGGGTTTGTTTTATTAAAATTCCTGTCAGATAGGGTGTTGGGGTGAAAGGCAGCGTGGCTCTACCTGAATCCTGCTCTTATCCCCTCCTGTCCCCTCTGCCCTGCAAGAGGCAAAATGGGAATTTTTCATTATTCCTGTGAACTTTGTGTAGGAGCTGGAAATGCTGGAGAAGGAAAAAACCTGAGGAGTTTGTGCCAGCGATTGCAAACGCAGCAAGAGAGTCAGAATTTTGGCTGGTGGCTCTTTCAGGCCTTCTTACCGTGTGTTTTGGGCACAAAACAATAAGATTTGACCTGTTTTGAAGCTTAAAATCTCACGAGTTCTGTGGAGCTGGTTAAATTTCTAGTTTTCATTTAATTTTAATTTCTCTAGTGCGTTTGCTCATAGGATGTATCCCTCAAAGTCACTGAGCTCCTGCAGCCCTGTAATTCGGGGATGCTTCATTATCATGAAATCTTCTCTACTGTGAGCATGAAAATCAGAATTTGGTAAAAAATATTAAACATTTGCTGAAGTACAGGTTTGTATGACAGTGTTAATATGAAAGCAGCCTGCAGAGAAATGAGCTGTTCTGGCTGTTGTACACTGAGAAAAATTCTTTTGATAGCATTAATAAAAAAATCTGTGATGCTTCTTACACATCCGCTGAGTTTTTATTAATCTTCTTTTGCCTCCTGCCTGATTTGGAAGGGAAACTCTCCAAGTTCTTACTGTGGATTCTTCTTATCAGAATTATTCTGTATTTCTTAGCAGAATTATCTGTTATTAGAGAAAAGATCTCTCAGAAAACTGTGAGGTTTAAATATATAACAAATGTGAAGCAGCAGACTTAAAAATATGAAGTGTCTGTGATATTTGTAAATCTGCGATGCCCTGTACTAAGATATTTTTGATATATGCAGCCCTACTCAAGAGTATTTTGGTTTAGGCTAAAATTTGGGCAAATAGATTGTGAAAAGTGTTTATATTTTTGGTAAATACCATGAAATTTTTTACCTTTCTGCTTAAGTCTTAATCACATAAAAATTAAGTGAAGTGTTGAGCTGACTGCTTAAAAATACACATTAGATTCCATTATTCAGAATTCCTTGTTTCCTGACTGTAAAATTGGTAGCTGTGAGGACCGAAGGAAATTTTATCTCTATTGCAAAAATTGATCAATTTATAATTCTGGTATTTCAGAGCTGTTGAAGATTTGAGACTGACTCGTTGGCAGAAGTGCAAAAAAAAAAGTTTTTTCTGAACGGCAAAGCGGATTGGAATGAAAAATGAAAGAAGGAAAGGAATTATCTTAAATAATTTCATTCTCAACCCTTGATTCCGCAGCCTCATTTGCATGGCCGCGTGTTGGTTTCACCCCCTTTCAGCCGAAGAATTCCACACGTATTTGTCCCTATAGAATGTCTTTGATCCGCGGGGATTTCTGTAGGGCCCTGCTGAATGCAAACATTCTGAAGACTCGCATTTCCCTCCCAACAAAAGCTATATATGGTTTGGGAAACATGAATGAAAAACTAATGCGTGCCTGAGCTCACTTGCTGAAGTTTCACTCGGGTCAGCGAAATGGAAGTTGAAGTTCATCTCAGCGTATTTTAGAAGGTCCTTTTCATTTAAAAACAATGCTAGAACCTGTGGAAGTTTGTGGATGCATTTACCATTTGAAAGTGATGAACGTGACAGTTCTATTCAGGCCGTTCCCGGTGCTTAACATCACATTGTACCTTTTTTGTTGGTTTTTTTAATTTGCTTTTTCCTAAGCTGCTGCGCAGACCTGAGAAAAGCTTTTTTTTTCCTTTTGTATGGAAACTTTCTGTTGTTGTGGCTGCTGACTGCTCAGCAGAATGTGTTGTTCAGGGAACAGAGGATGTTCTGGGGCAGGTTTTCTCCCTTTTTATACTTTAAATGTATAAATTTACAATGTCCAGGAGGAATAAAGGCGTGCTCTGCAGTCACCCTGCCAGCCTTGGATAAGGATTCTTAATGAGGACTGAGGAAGTGGAAATTAGGAAACTCAGCCTTAATATAGGAACAGGCACATAAAGATGGGGAGAATAAATAAAGAGGAAATGCAATAAATTGGTTTTTTTTCATTCAGTACAACACATAAAAATTAAACCCTGTTTATGTCTATACACACACAGGTGTCCATGGTACTAAAATACTCAGGGTGCTCCTGACTGATAAAGACAATAGTGCTTGTAATCTGATTTCTTTTCCCCATCAGTCTTTATTTAAATAAAATCTGAGGCATTTTTTTCCTAAGAAGCAAAGAAATTTGGTTTGAGTGTGTGAAATTGGCTGAGAGTAAAATAGGGTGACTGAGTGAAAGGAATGTGTTGTACAAGTGTGTTATGATTTATGGGGCAAACTGTGCAAAATATCCTCAATATTTATTCACAATTTTACTGACAGCATGGAAAATATTTCCCAGAGATGGCAATTATAGAATCACCAAAATAAGATGTTTTGGGGCTTTTTTCTTCAACTTCTTTTAGTGTCTGTGAGTGGGCAAAGAAAAGCTTCAAACAGTTCCATTTGGATAATAATTAACTGTTTTCATTTTTCCTTTTAGAAAAGATGCAAATGCTGCATTGCTGAGTAACTTTGAGGTGAGTTTGTCTTCATTCTGCTTTTAAAGCAGCAATTCCAAGATGTCATCACTCCCTTGTATAATCTTTGGAAGCTGAAACTGGCAGTGGCAATCAGCAAAACCTGCAGGGAATTTCCTCTTCCTTGCATTTGGTTTGGTTTCAAGAAAAAAAAAAAAAAACAAGAAAAAAAAATCTTCTTTTTGAAGAAGGTTTGGAAATGGTTTTGCTAGTACTGGGTACTGTAGTATTGTTTGTTTGGTCTTGAGATTATTCTGAAAAATATAATGAGAGAGTATTTTTCCTCTCTCATTTTAAGGGGAGTAGAAAGAAATGTTTAATTTACCTGGTTTAATTTAAGCCTGGTAATGGAAATATTTTGCTTTGCTGATTAATTTAATTTTTGGAGCAGTTTTAATAACCCAGGTGGTTTTGTCTGTGTTATTGTATTGCTGAAGCTGCTTTTTATTGCAGCTGTTTCATTCTGTTCTGAAGTTAATCTTGAGGTGTTTTATCCCGCAAACAGCAGAGCAGCACCTGGTGAGTGGTATTGAGGCATCTGGGCAGAACTCTGCTGAATTTCCTCTGAGAAATAGAGAAGACCCTGGCACCCAACTGGTGTTCAATGTCTGGCTGTTAAAATAATGTCAAAAAAATAACAAATATGATTTTTTAAAGTACTGATTCCCTCCAACTGCTGATCCCTTTCCATTTGCTCCTCTCCCCGGTGGCAGTTCCACTGCAGAGCCAAAATTGTGTAAATCCAGGGATGCTTTGCACTTTGCACACCAGGTTCCACCCTGCACATCCCTGTGAGCTTCTTGTCCTTTTGTGTTCTCAGAGCTCACAGCCTGAGTTTGATTTCAGCATTGCCAGGTTCCTTTTCCAGGGAGGTGTGCAGTAATGGAGGGTTTGTAGCTGGTTGTGTTCATGTTTCTCACTGTCTGGAAATGTTTGGTGTCTTATTTCTCTGGAACTGTCAGTTTGTGATTCTCCAGGCTGGATCTTGAGTGAAGCCAGGTGCAAATGAGGGTATGAACAGTGAGAAGGGCTCTGTTGCTTTGCTCTGGATATACCGCAAAACCTGGAGCAAAACACCTGAAAAAGTTCCATTCATCTCTTTAAAATAATCACAGCTTTAAAAAAAATATTTACATCCTTATTCACCTCTCTGGGGCCAAAACATTTCTCATTCCAGCTGTTGGCCCATCCACCAGAGCAACCTCACATTTTTTGTTGTTTGGCTGCTAGGAATTTCCTCTTCATTTATGATTTCTTGCTGGAATATTTGTAGGTAAAATGCTGTCAGATGCTCTAAACCTCTTTATTTTTATTTTTAGGTGTACCAGTTACTTACTGATCTCAAGCAGCAGCGTAAGGAGAGTGGCAAAGCCAAGCAGAGCTCTGGGCAGCAGAACCTGAACACAATCATGTATGAGGTGAGCAGCACTGGGAAAATCCACTTACCACTTGGCTCAAGCTGCAATAATCCAATAATTCAATAATTCAAGCTGCAATGCTGTGTATTGATAATTTGGTATCAAATTTCCCCTGATTCAAACCATAATAAAATGTTTTATCTGCACTTTTCTGTGGTTGTAGGGTCACTGTGCTGTCAGGGCAGAGTTAGGCAGTTGCTGTTCTTAAAATCTATAAAAGAATTTCAATATTTCAAACCCCCTGGTTTTCAGCTGTTTAATTTTGTTAGGATTTTTTTAATTCTAAAAATTTCATCCTTTTAAGACACAGAGCAGAGCTTGCTATCATCTGATGAATTTGTGATATCACCTAATGTGGAAATTAAGATGATGATTTCAAAGCTGAGGCACAGATTACATGGTATTTTTTAATCAACAGAACTAAATCAATCATTCCCAGCCCAAACAGATCATCTGAATTGGTTTTTGATCCAAAGAAAAGCCAAACCCCACGCACACATAACATCACTTGGATGCCAGGTGGGCAATAAACATTTCATCCCTTGCTGGGAAGGAATTCTAACATCTTATAATACAAATCTTACAATACAAATACAAATTTATTTGAAATAAATGAGCAACTTCCCAGAGCCTTGCAGAGGGAGCCATTGTGTGTGTGCTGCAGAATTGCATGAGCAGCAGTGCCTGGCAGGCAGCTGAAAGCTCTTTGCCTTTGCTTGCATGAGTAATTCTGTTGAGCCCTGAACCCACTCATGTGGATAAGATCTGGCCTAGGCTTTGGTTTTGTTTGAGTTCTGGCTTTGTTTGAAAAAGGTACAGAGGTTGTAATTCCTGAGCCTTGTGTTCAACAAAATAGGGGCTTACCAAAAATGGGAATTAAATCTTCATGGAGACTGACAGTCTCTTCCTGCACCTCTGGGAAACAGCTGAGGGAGATCCTGTAAGTAAATTTGATCAGGATGCACTTGAAATCTTGAATTGCTTTTTTATTCTATGGGTTAAATACCTCTAGGGTGCTTGGTGTCAATTCTGGGTGGATTTTCTGTGTTTGACTGAAAGAAAAGCAGAATTTGATTTTATAGGGTTGTCTTTGGATTTCTTCACAAGCTCCCTGCAGAGTTGGATCCATTGGCACTGGAGTGACTCCATCAAAGGAGTTTTGTTTTTCTGTATTTTTTGCTTTCTCGTCGATTTGAAATTGCCAAAAAAAAATATGAACCTGGAAGAGAAATTACTCCTGTGAGATAATTAATTTACATGACAATATAATGATTTAATTTCAATCACTGGTGGTGAATAACAGCTTCATTTTATCTGGAAAGATCAGACAAGGCTTAAAGAAATTAATAATAAATTATAATTATTTCCAAGTCTTCATTTTGGGGTTTAATTCAAGCAACAGTAAACATTTAGGAAGACTTAAAGTCACTTCCAGTGAAAGGTCAGCTATGAACTGCAATTTTTGTGGGGTTTTTTATCAACAAATTGGGTTTTTTACTTAATTCAGATTACTTTGTGTAATGTAATTCTTTTATCCACCTGCTCAATGTTGTTATTGTAAATAAAGCAAATAAATGGAACATTTGCTGTCAAAGTTGGGGTTGGTAGGTGTTACATGGAAAAAACTGATCAAAGTTTAATTGTCTCAATTAATTTTGAATAGCAAAATACCCTTGTAGATTTCATAACAAGCCTCTTAATCTGCTTCTATCAGCTTAAAACTGCCAAAAATGCAGGTAAAGGGTAAAAACAAGGTGAGATTAGAGATCTTAAAGAGAGATTTCTGGGCTGGCAGTGAGAATATTCCTGGCACTGAGCACATGAAAACTTGGGTTTAGGGTGAATTCAACTTTCCTGTGTGCTTTTAAAAGACAAAATCCAAACAAGGAGCAAACCAAGCAAATGTCTCACAAACACAAGAGAGATTTTTTAGCAGGCAGAGCTAAAACTCAGCCCTTTCCTGTATTCCTCAGCTTGCAGTTTTGTGCTTTGAACAGCTCAGATAAAGTTGATGTCCAAACCTGAATTGGTTGTCCAGTTTTTCTTGAGACTTTTCAGAGTATTTGTTCAATACACAACTGGTAAAACAAGTATGAATTAAATAATTAATAATTAATTAATTGGTAATTAAATGATACATCTTTTCTTTCTGTCCCTTGCAGACACTGAAGTACATCTCAAAAACACCCTGCAGGTACCAGAGCCCTGAGACTGTCAGGGAGTTCCTGGTAGCAATGAAAGACCATAAATTAACCAAGTAAGTGGAGCTGTGCATTGAACAGCAGTAAAAACTCAATCAATGCTGACAAACAGATCCTGTGGGCAGTGTGATGATCTGATTCATGGATTTTAAGGATTTTCTGCCATTCTTTAAGTGCTCAGCCAAACATATTTTCCTTCACTTGTGGGTAGTTCCATCTTTATGTGCTGTTTGTGCAGGATATCTGAGATCTACACTTCAGTTCTTTAAATATTGTATCAACCACCCCCCTGTTCCTCCCCATCAGTTTCCTGTGGAGCTGAACACCCAGTTGTTATTTTGGGAAAGAAAAAGATTTCCTTTGCAGTTCCAAGACTCCAAGGGCTTTTTTCCCCTCTGTGAGTGCTTGTCTTGAGGCACATAATCCTCCTGGAGCTCTGCAGAGTGGGACTGAAGCCTGATGTAAACAGAAATGGAATCAGCTGGCCAATTTTGGAGAGTTCTGATCACTCCTGACTTCTAAAGCAGAATAAACCCAATATTTAGTGCTTCTAAATAACTTCTCCTTCACACAGAGGAGGAGTTTTTCAGACACTGAGTGTGTTTTTAGTCCCAAGGAGTTCATCCTCTGGGAAAAAGACTTTTCAATCATTTGGTAGTGCCACAGAATGCACAGGGAGGGCTCTGCAGTGCTGCAGGGAGGTTTTTAGGCTGTCCAGAGTAGGGAGAGCAGATTGGCAGCTTTTTGTTGGGCTTTCAGTGCCCCCTCTCTACAGCCAGGCACATCCAGCTCTGCTGTTCCTTGGGAATCCTGCCCTGGAACTGTGCTTGGAGAATTGTGCTTTCTTTGCCAGCTCAGTAAATCAGTGTTTAACCCTCATTTTATCCAGCAGGATACTCATTTATGTATCCTCATTATTTTCTGGAGGGATTGAGGCATGGAGAAAAGAAAATACTCTGCAATAAAAACACCAGAGGTGTAAAGAGGTGGTAATATGGCACTGAGAGGTCTTAAAATTGGCAGCAAACATTTCCTGAGTAGTAGTGAGCATCCTTCCCTTCTGGTAAAAGTGTAAACCAGCCCTTTCTGAAGAGAAATAAGCTTTGCTGTCAGTGCAGGGCAGCAGTTTAGGAAGAAGTAGCAGAGCAGGATTTTTTATAGTAAAACAACTGAATAATATTGGTGTAAAACTCCCATTAAAAATCAAAGTGTTTATTCTTATTTAAAGCTCATTTCTAAACTTTTTAAGGTAGAATTTGACCAGAACCTGAGGGATAACTCTTGGTGTTATCAATTTCTGAGGGTTAACTCTTAGTGTTATCACTTTAGGTTTGCTGCACTGCAACTGCTCCCCTTGATGGGATCTCCTAGAGTGAAATACTAAACAATCTAAATTATGACAGAGAAACTTCCAGCTACAGATTCTCTGTCTCCCACAGTGCTGAGCACCTTTGTAGAAGCTCTACCCAAATATTCACCTTCCCACAGCTGCTTGTTCAGTGAGCTGGGAAGGTTGGAACAGTTACAAGCTGTAAATGAGCTTTTGGACTGTTCCATTTTTTATGGATGCTCTGAGGTGCCTTTGAGGCTGGGGATCATCCTGTGTGTCCTTTCCCTGAGGCACTGAAGCACAAGAATTATTCTCAGATCATTTCTTGTGCATGGTGGCAGCAGGATGAGAATGAAGAGCAGCCAGTGGTGTAGGTGACAAATTCACATTTGTTTTGTGAGCATCCTGTACAACTTTTATCTGGTAAAGAACTTCCCAACTCTGCCACGTGCTAGAATAAAACCCAGAATTGTTTTGTGTGATCCTGGCACTCCTTTTTTTCTGATCTTTTCCATTGTCAGGGCTCATTTGGCAGCCCCTTCACCCCAAAGCACAGAGGGCACAAGGGGTGAATTCTCTTTAGGGCACTTTATGTTAAACCACTTAAAGCAGTGATGCCTCCAAGGCAGTTTGGAGCTGTCTTTGATTCCTACCCAAGGTCATTTCAACACTGCTCCTCTTGTTAAATAAAAAGGCTTTGATGGTTTCCATCCTGTGGGATGCAGGTGGTGCTGAGGGATTTCATTCCAGCTGTGTGCAGAGAGCTTCCCTCCCTCAGAGAGGAAAGGTTTGCAGCGTTTGCTCTTCCAGGACCTTGCTTGTGTGATCCCTGCAATGACCTCTCCTCCCACCAAGAGTAATGAGCTCCAGACTCTCTTTGCTGCTTCCTTTCTGGGTGAGGCACCCCAAAATGTGCTCTCTGAGCTGCTCAGACACTGTCAGTGCTGCTAACAGCTCTCTGCAGTGGCTGATTAGATTGATTTGTGTTAATTGGGGTCTGTCCTCACACAATTCACTCTGGTTAAAGGGTCAGCAGCACCCCATCACCCCAAACTGCTTCCCTGCCCTTTACATTCTTCTCATGACTCCACCTCTAATCTGAGGGGAAACAATTAAGCAGCCTGTTTATGCTGTTAATTAGGCTTAGCCTATTTCCTAATAGCAGAAGCCCAGGATTTGCAGCCCTGCCCAGGCTGTGATTGCTGCCCTCAGCACTAGGCTGTGCTCGTGGATGGGAGAATCCCCGGCTGGGAGGAGACAGCAGCCAGGGAAGCGCCAGCAACTGAGGCACAGCACAGCTCTGAATCCAGGGAATTCTTATTTTTCCTTCCACAGCCCTGCAGGATGTCAGGCTGCACGTGATGCCTGTGCTCCTGTGAGAGAACTGGTAACATAGTTCTGGTAAATTCTGAAAATCACCTCAAATCCTTCTGTTATCACTGATTTTTGCCACTCAAAAAATCAAGTTAACACACTACCATCCATTTTGTAATGGATTTGTCTCTTTAGTGTTACAGACACAAAAAAAACCCCTTCCTAAAAGGCAGATTTTAAATAATCAATTTTAAAAACATCAATGTGTGCAAACAAATATTCCAGAGTTATTTCAGAATGCTGCCTTGCTAAATGGAGCAAATTCAAAGCCAGATATTTCCCTGACACAGTTAAGGTGTGGTAAACCAGTTTCTCCCATAGTTTTTAATCATTACTTTGCTAAAATTCAAACTGTAGAACTGAGATATTTTTAAAACTACAGCTCTGAACTCACATAATGAATTTTATTATTACCTTGTTGAGGCCTCAGGCTTTGGCTGAAGCTCCAGTTCAGTGAGCCATGTTGTACTTGGAAATAGAATTTGCCACTAGCAGCTCATTTTCCAGTCTTAGTGCTGAAATGGCTTCATATTTGTAACTTAGAGTGAATTGCATTGCATGAAAAGAACATTTATTAAACTGGAGTTCTATAATTATGGTTCAATGAAAACTGGCTCTGCTTGTGCTTCTTCCTGCCACTGATATCCTATCTTGTATCTAATTTTGGGATAACCAAATTCCCAATCACTGCATATTTTTATAATTTTAAAAGAACTGGTCAGGAACATTGCCCTTTTTGTCTTTAAATCAACACAGCTGAGGAAGTGTTGAGCTGAAAATCTTCAGTACTTCTAGAAAATATTTTCCCTCATGACTGCCAAAAGCTACAACAGATACAAACCTCTGCAATATGAAAGGCTGAAGGATTTGCTTTGTGATTTTTGTCTCCTCCAGAGCTTTCAAAATGAATATTCAGCAGCAAGTCAGCATTGTGCTCATTGAACAACAGCATCATTTAAGTGATTTTGAGATTATTCTCAGCTTTTCCAGTGGGAATCTTTGTGGAGAATCACAGCACCCACTGGGGCTGTGATTTCCCATTTTGGGGGAATCCTCCCTCAGCCAGACCCTGTGCTCAGGACTCAGGCACTGAAAGCTGCCGTGGGTGATTGAGGAGCATGGGATTTATATTTCCAGCAGGAATCAAAGCCCTGCTTGTGTGTCCAGCTGTTCCTTCATGGTTTTCCCAGTAACCCTCAAACATCCATTCCTCAGGATAAATGTGCTTCTGCTCAGGCACAGATGTTTGAAGGGTTTTTTTAGCTCTCTGTGCTGGATCTTGGCACTCTTCTCTCCTTACCCAGACCTCTTGCAGGAAAAACACTCTGGGAGTTCAGCAGATTAAAAAAGAGCAGTACCAGCACACAGAGGAGATTTTGGTTAAAATATAAACTGCAAAAATTTGCTTAGTGCTGACAGAAAATGGTGCATTTTGTGTGAATTTCCACAAGAGCATGCAAGTGTGGTGGAGTTTGCAGGGGTCATAGGATGAGGGAAGAGATGAGGATCTGACTCCATGTTTCAGAAGGCTGATTTATTATTTTATGATATATATTATATTAAAACTATGCTAAAAGAATAGAATAAAGGATTTAATCAGAAGGCTGGCTAAGACTAGAAAAATAGTTATAACAAAGGCTTGTGACTGACAGACAGTCTGGACAGCTGACTGTGATTGGCCATTAATTAGAAACAACCAACATGGACCAATCAAAGATTTACTTGTTGCATTTTACAGCAGCAGATAATCATTGTTTACATTCTGGTTTTGAGGCTTCTCAGCTTCTCAGGATAAAAAGTCTTAAGGAAAGGATTTTTCATAAAACATGTCTGTGACACTCAAGTATTTGTGTTATTTTTTAGAATGGATGTATCAATGTAGGACTGTGCTGTCTGTTCTGGGATATTGAACATGACCCAGAGGTGGTTTTTGTCCTGTAGAAATGTTTTTTAGGATTTTTAGGTTGGAACTCAACATTTTCTCCTCCTCCAGCACTCTCCCCTCACACAGACCTCAGATCCCTTTTCCTCCTTATAATTGCACAGGTTTTTGTCCCCTGCAGCCTGAGCTTTGTGTGTGTCCCCAAAGCCACTCCAGAGCATTTTTCCATCCTGGACAAGCTGAGCCCCAGGGCTGCAGGATGTGGGATTTCTCAGCAGGAATTGCCACATTGGGATTTCTCAGCAGGAATTGCCATTGGGATTTCTCAGCAGGAATTGCCATGTTGGGATTTCTCAGCAGGAATTGCCCCATTGGGATTTCTCAGCAGGAATTGCCATGTTGGGATTTCTCAGCAGGGATTGCCATGGTGGGATTTCTCAGCAGGAATTGCCATGTTGGGATTTCTCAGC